GAGGTCCACATGTAGTACCTATATATGTAATATCAAAGCAATCGGACTTGCGGTTTTTAACAAGAAGTCGAAAATATCACTTTTTACCAAAAATGACAAACATATTCACCAAAATTAGAGAATTGAAGATATCATCACGAAATGAACAAATCTGAGAGAGGTTCACATGTAGTACCTAGATATGTAGTATCAAAGCAATTGGACTTGCAGTTTTTAACAAGAAGTCGAAAATATCACTTTTTACCAAAAATGACAAAAATATTCACCAAAATTAGAGAATTGAAGATATCAACATGAAATGAACAAACCTAAGAGAGGTCTACCCAAGGTACATATACACCAAGTATCAAAGCATTCAGGCTTGTAGTTTTCAAGAAGAAGTCGAAAAAGTAAAACATTGACGAGGACGACGGACGACGACGGACAATCACTCATATGATAAGCTCCGCTCGACAAAGTCGACAGCGGAGCTAAAAAGTGCGTGGAATTGCCATCGACAAACTGTTTCCTAAAGTATACTCCGCTCATGTCACTATTACCATGAGCAAACAAACAAACCATTCACTACTGAACCTTCGATCAGTGCACAAAAACCATCAAAGAACACAACATTTTATACACGTTAGGGCAAGATTAATTGTTAATGGAGAGGAAATGTTACTTAAAACAGCGAGTTACTCCAAAAACTGAGCAAAATGTGGAAGTGATTTGTTTGTTTGTTAGTTCATGGTGTTACATTGGTGTTGCGTTCCATTCACGTGATAACATGAAATACTAGTAACTTGCTTACACGACCGTCTGCCCATCACGTGCTCAAACCACAGACTTTGGATAATATGCAACCAGAACCAACATCATATCGTGTTAATGATTCATAGAACACACCACGTTTCGTGTGTGAAACAAAGCGGCGTGTCTGTCAAGGCAGCCATGCTGTCACATCTGTTTATTTACAGAATTCAGAATTTAATAGCATTTTGAAGTAGCAAATCACAATCCCCAGTCCAGGGCTGTTGGACAAGAGCCATTCGCAGAATAGACAGTGTCCACCGTCGAATAAGTGAAAGCAGTATTTAGCAATGGTGGTATATGATGTGAAGTTACGGTCACCAGATAGTCGACCACATGCATGCATCAAGTTATATCTAGTTCAAGTATTGATTCCGACCTTTCCCGACATTCCTTTATATAAACTTTGAACTATAAACCCTGCTCTATTATATCCCATTATTACAAGCTATTTTTAACCATGCCCTGTTTTAACTAACTGTACAAAACCGCCATGGCCAGAACACGTTTTTGCGTTTTTGAGCGCTTTGAATGTGTAATAACTTAGATACAAAGCGAACCATCAAATCGAAGAATGTGTTGATTGGCCAGGGATTAAAGTGAGAATGTTGTTAATTAATGACGACTCTTTTTTTAAAAGGTGAGGGTTCATGACGACAAATTTTGAAAAAAAATGTATTTTTACAGTTTGCCGCCAGCCAGTCAGTATGGTATTTACTGGTGGAGGCAACCTAATAATGAAGTAAAAGTAGTATTCTATGCAGCCATTTTATTTATAGCTGTACTCACGTCGCCACGGTTTTACGCATGTATTATTACGGTGACTGTGAATGGTTACGCCATCTGAATGGTTACGCCACGTGAATGGTTACACCGGTGAGTTGGTGCACTGATTTGGTTTGTCGTACAAATGGATACAAATAAAAACGTTTTCACGCTTACGGAAATTGCCGTGTAACTAGGGAGACAAGATGAACGATGTCTAAAAAAAAGAGCGTGTTCTACAGTGTAAAATTCAAGGTCGTGTCAGTTTCCATAGCGGCATTGGAATAGCTTTTACATGAGAGATGATGATGTTGACTTACTTTCACAAATGCACTCCAAAGCAGGCACAAAATAACGATCACACGCGATTGTCATGCCATACAGCATATAAATGACAACCACAACGGGAACTGCAATTGCTCCGTTGCGGAGCTGTTCTTCTGTAAATATGCCGGACGGTACTTCGCCGAGGCTGATACGTGGTGTGCAGTTGGCAGCGTGCATCGTGTCCGACGTGTTCCAAATTGAAATATTCATTCTACTAGCGTATATCACCGGGATTGCGTTGGTGACCGTCCTAATAAAACGATTTCAACGGCTTTCCCGGCACCCTTTGTCTCACTGTCGTTTTTGAACACACACAACTTGGGTCGTATCAATGTATCACCCGGATAATAGAAATTTTAAGCAAGCACTGAACTGTTGACCTCTGTACTGCGACTGCGCACTTTTTTTCTAGTGACGTAGCATGGCGTCATGTGCTTATAAAACAACAAATTCTCATTGTTTGCTTCGCGCGAAAACTCGTTCTCACTTGTTCGTCGACGAATCGGAGTTGGCGCTTATTCCAACGTGATTGTCATATGTTTAGCAGTACATTGACGCGATTTACTTCGGGAGTC